AAAAACTGCCCAGTAGTTACTGCAACATTTGTGATCAGTAAAGTATTTATGAATTGGATTTTAAATTGAATGAACAATTGTAATAATAATATTTCAAGTCAGAAAAACTATGCAGACCGTTTCTAACCTAAATCTGATTTAATATTTAATTAATCTCTAAGTTAGAATCAGTTTCCTTTTTAACTCATAGAGAAAAGGAAAAATCTATTGTTTGATTAAAAAGGGATCTAATGAACATAATGCGCATCTTTAATTCTTTTTTCACTTCTTTTTCTTTGCTTCAGGATTGAGGATAATTAGATAAATCTTTAACCTCTGAGTTTAATAGTTTATTCCGTGATGTTGGTGTTGCTGAGTGAAGCTGAATAGAAGCAGCCGGTAAACATGGACGTCCTCAGCCTCCTCCATCACTGTGAAGGAATTTTATCCCCTGTTTGAAGCTGAAACTGCTGGACAGCTGGCCTCACACTGGATGACAGGCATTGAGGTTACAGCTCCATCCTATACGGTTAAAAGCCCACTGCCTCACTCCTCCACCACCGTGCTTCTATAGAGCCAACCATCTTCAGTCTTTAAGTACATTTTCCCTTTAATTATAAATGTATTAAATCTACCTTTTGATCATATCTTCATGTTGACATTTTATTACTGCGGACTGCATTAAAGTCCCTGTAAATCAAATAAAACGGCGTGCAGCTCTGAGCAGCTGTGGATTATTATTCCTCCCAGGGCTGTTGGAGGCCTTCTTGGATCATCCAACTGAAATGCTTTTCTAAAAGGCTGATGCTCATATCTGAAGAACAACTTATTGGATTCATTCGTAGAAAAGCTTTCATTCCCTTCAGACATCAGCTGCGTTCATAGAACCTTCGCCATATTTTTAACCGTTCTGTTTGCATGCTGAGCTGGTTTTGATGCTGATGTGAGGTAAAAATGGTTCCTCTGAGGAGGCTAATCTTGGGCCTCAGCCTCCATGAAGCAGGAGACAATAGAGAAGCGGCTCAGAATGAGACCTACTGACCCTGGACCAGCTGAAGAGCCTGATGGATGCAGGGAAAAGACCAAATCATCTGATTTACATATTTAAGGAGCTGAAGGTTGTTGACCTCTGGCCTCACTGAAGATCTCTGAAAGGCTGGATGCTCCTTTAGCACAGAGTCTGCTCTGCCCTCCTCACTGGATCTTCTCTTTTTCAGTCTATCATTTTATTTTCTAAATAATGTAACCGCTTTTGGCATTTCCTTAATCCCATTTAACACAATTGTTTTATGTCCTACCCTGCTAACATGAAATAATTGCATTAAAGTAACTAAACATGATTAAGGAAATGACAAAAATGGTTGCATTAGTTTTTCAGTGTACATTCTGATTGTTTTTTTGCTTTCAGTCATCAGGAAAACCTTTATTATTAGAAAAAAAAGGTCAAACTGAGAGCTGGAGGAGATCCTGACCATGACTTTGGCTGGTCAGAGCAACACCACGGACTCCGTGTGTGTGTGTGGGGTAATGAACAGATACAAGGGAGTTTTTCCTCTCCACTGTCGCTACAAGCATGCTTAGTGTGAGGGATTGCTTAGTAGTCAATGAGTC